GGAAAGAGGTTTGACGGAAACAAATACAGTTAGATCAGTTAGATGCAGAAATAAATACTGGGGCAAGAAAGGAAGGCCAAATCTGGGTGGGGGTGGGGAAAAGCAGATGAGGAGGAGCTAGCCCAGAGCCTTGGATCAGTGCCATGGAGTCAGTTCTGACCCATAGTGACCCTGTGTAGGGTTTCCAAGGAGCAGCTGGTGAGCTTGAACCACCAACCTTACAGTTCAAACAGCTTTGAAGTCTGGCGCATTAACCCGCAACGCCACAAGAGCCCAGTAGCAACATGGAAAAAGTGGAAATTTTGGGTGCTGGAGGGCTGGGGTTACTGAAGTGGGTAGGGGAGGTAGGAAGCTGAGGTGGTATCCTAAAGTTGCCACAAACTCTATCCCAAGACACAAGCACCTTGAGCAGGGAAAAACCTCCAATGACTCAGAAAATGTGCTTTTTTTGGGAAAATGTGTGTTCTAATTATTACAGGGAGTCCTGGTATCCTGGTGTGGCACTGTGGGATAAAGCACTGGACCTCAAGGTCAGTTTGAACTATAAGGTCAGTTGTTCAAACTCACCAGCCACTCCTTGGAAACCCTATACAGGGTGGCTATGACTCAAAATCAACTCGACAGTACTTAACAACAATTATTACAGAGTTATTATCATTATTGGAGTCCTGGTGTGGTGCTGTGGGATAAAGCACTGGACCACAAGGTCGGTTTGAACCACAAGGTTGACGGTTCAAACTCACCAGCTGCTCCTTGGAAATCCTATACAGAGTTGGAATCGACTGGACAGCACTTAACAACAACAACATTATCATTATTAGGATTCCCAGGGTGGGCAAATGGTTAAGCTCTCAGCTACTAGCAGAAAGGCTGTAGGTTTGAATCTACCCAGAGGTGCCTAGTCTGGTGAGCCTCATCTGAAATCAAAACTCATGTTGATGAGTCAATTCCAACTCACAGTGACCTTTAGGGCAGAGCAGAACTGCTCCGTAGGGCTTCCAAGACTGTAAATCTTTACTAGAGCACACAGCCTCATCTTTCTCCCTCAGAGAGACAGATGGGTTTGAACAGCTATCTTGCAGTTAGCAGCCTAATGCTTAATCTACTGCACCATTAGGGCTCCTTTGAGAGATCACTGAAAACCCTGTGGACTACAGTTCTACTCTGACCCAGATGGTGTCTCTAAGAGTCAGAATTGTCTCCTAGGTAGGCAATTTTTTTTATTATCACCATAACTATGTTGGTAAATAAGTGTCAAGTATGAAATTATGTTTCTTTCATCCTTTACTTATTTCAAAGATCTCTGACTTGCCATCTCAATTTCTGGACTAATTCTGGAAAGACTGGAGGAAAGTACACTGAAGTGTTTGAATAAACCATCCTCACAACTGGAGTTCTTTTACTGCAGCACGAAAATCATGGTGGGGTGGAGTGGGTTTCTTTTCTTTTGGTTTATTCTTGTTGAGTTGAAGTTTTGCTTTAGATCTTCCATGTGTGTTGTAGATTTAAATAAGATAATGGATGAGCTGGAATGCCTAGTAAGAACTTGACCACACCTGAAAGTGGACCTGTGGAGTTCATACTTGGATTGTTGCTGCTGGGATTGACTCTATTTAACCAGCTTCTTTGATCTTGGGGCAAGTCTACTGACATCTCTGAACCTCATTATATTCACTGACAAGATGAAAATACCCCTCAAAGCACACACACTATCTCTTGCCCCCAACCCCATTCCCTAAGCTAAAACCATCTTTACGAGTCTAAAGCCATGTGTTTTAGGGAGGAAAACCACAGAGGTAAAAAGCCATTCTCATCGTATCATATCAGGAGTAGACTGTCAACTTGACTTATTACCATTGATGTTAACCTTGATCACCTTGCTGAGGTAATGTTTGTCAGGTTTCTCCACTGTAAAGTTGTTGCCTCCCCAGCCCCCAGTCTTTTTATACTGCATTCTTTGCAAGTCACCATATGCAGCCTCCACTTAAATTGTGATTAGTATGCTCAGTTCCTTGAGTGTTGAATGTCTATATAAATTATTTGGAATTTTTCTGTACAGGACAGGTGTTGATTCTCCCATGTCTATGTATTCAGTCATTTATTTACATCAGTATGGACTCATGAATATTTATTGTATATATTAGATTACAATCCAAACCTACTTTATTTGTTTTTTACTCAAATTCTTCCAGCTTTGGCCATTGGAAACTCTTTCATTTGGCTCATGCATCTCTTTAACACATTCTTATTTTGGGGGCTGTTTTGTTTTGGGTTTTTCTGCTTTTTTTTGCTTTCTGCACTATAAGAGATTCTAGGTTTGTCTTGTATATTTCCTGCTCTAGTCCTAGAACCAGTCATTTCTCCAAGGAGAAAGTGAGAGCCAAGTTCTAACCCTAGAGAATATGTGTCTAGAAGTTGGGGCATAAGATCTGGTAGGTGGGAAAGTATAAAGGCCCAACCTACCCTTAGGATGGGACTTTCCCAGAAATAGCAGCCAGATTTGCAAGTCATTATCGAGAAATTGGTGACTCACCAGCTCCCCAAGTTGTCTCCTCCCTCCCCCTCTTGCTGACAAGACTGTCCCTAAACCAGCTCAGACACAGAGAGGGACCTGGTCAGAAAGTGTCCCCACCCATGGGGCCAGAGAGGAATGACCCATTTTAGGCAAAGTCGGGGTTTTTGCCCATGCCAGCAGACACTATCATCCCCCTCCCACCCACACATTTCATCCATTTGTGTGTACTTATACCCTTCCTACCCACAGAAAGGATTAGACAAGATTACTCTATTTACAACTACAATAAAACTATTATGAAAACCTAAGTAAAAGGACAAGAGCAATGTTTTTTAAAAAAGCACAAGTGCATGCCTGTGTGTGTAATAACTTCATCCCAGATACCTGGCTGGGCAGTCTCCTAGGAATCCTAGGATGCCTGAATCACAGATTACTAGCACCAGGATTTTCAGAGATGAGCAAGCTTCACCTGACATTTTATAGAGCCGAAACTGATCTAGTGGTTTTCAGGGAGAGGAGGACAAGAAGAGCACATAACTAGTGAGCTGAAGAACTGGGAATAATGAGACAGGTCTTCTGATGTCCAGCTCTTTTCAAAATCCCATTCATGATTCCCTTTTCAGGGGAGCAAAAAGAACAGCTCTGGACCTTCTAGTGGGGATACAGAAGGAGGTCTGGTGGCACTTAGGATAAGCACTGCACTGCTAACCACCAGGCATTCCTGATGAGGCAGTGGGCTCCTATCAAGATTTAGTCTCTGTCCTATAAAGGTCACTGTGAGTTGGAATTGACTCAAAGGTGGGAATGGGATACAATAACAGGGCAATATTTTTTACACCTTTTATTTGCCAGATAAATAAACTTATGTGGGTATGTCTGAGATGTCTTTGAAATTATGGAGCTACAATTAGGGATTACTGTTGTTGTTAGGTGCCGTCAAGCCAGTTCCAACTCATAGCAACCCTATGCACCACAGAATGAAACTCTGCCGAGTCCTTTGCCATCCTCATAATTGTTTGAACCACCACTGTGTCCATCTCATTGGGGTCTTCTTCTTTGTCAAGCACGATGTTTTCTTTCCCCAGGGACTAGTCACACACACAGCGTGTCAGAGGAAGTCTCTCCATCTTCGCTCCCAAGGAGCATTTTGACTGCATGTCTTCCAAGACAGATTTGCTAGTATTAGCTAGCATCCCCCAAACATTCGGACAAAGAGAATATAGAACATAGACAATGGAATGTATAAGTGGATACTGGGGACCCTACCATTTCCTTGTAGTCAAGATTTTAAGAGTTATGTCAGCAACCTTCTAGCTGTTCGGTTATCCTTCCTACTCAAAAATAAAATACAAATCCCAGATCAGGAGGTGTTTTCTAAGAGACTTAGAATTATGGATTTTTATGCTACCAACATAAGCACATAAGCCATTGGCACAGAGGAGCAGCAATAGGCTCAAGTCTAACAATTGTGAAGACAGTGCAATGTTTCCTTCTGTCATGCACAAACAAGGTCACTATGAGTTGGAAGCCACTCGATGGCACCTAACTACCAATATTAAAAGAGATAAAATAACTTTTATCTCTTTTAATATTCACTCAATGTACTCAAATAACACTTTCACTGCCTGCAACAGCTCATGAATGGCTATTCCCTGTGTTTCCAGTGATCTTTGTATAGGCTAAGATGAAAGACTGCCTTGGGCATAGAGAAAAGGTTCTGGATATGGTGTCCCTTGGTGTGGTTGTAATAAAGAGACAAAATTAGCATCAAGCTACTCTTTGCTCTTTTGGTGACCTTCCTAGGGTTACCTGGGAGATCTTGTCTCAGTCTGTAAACTCCTTCTTAGCAGAAAGCATGGAAAGTTCTCCAAGCCTACCTTCAGGTTGACTTATGAAGAAGCTTTTCCAAAAAGGGCTGCCTGCTGTGCCTATGCTGTGCCTATGTGTTTCTCTTCCTCATTTTCTGTATATTTTCATTCTTTACTAATAAAATTGTTTTTTAAAGTAACACATGGAGTTAAAAATACTCAAATATATAACTGCAAAATAGATTGAAATTGAAATCTCCACACACTATTACCAACTCCTGGCAGACCCAGCCAGACTTTTTTATATATACTCATACAAGCATTTCTATAGATTTTTCTGTTTCAATTTGAACAAAGGTGGACTCATAATGGATTTTGTATTTCGCACCTTGCTTTGTTCCTCTTGACAATATATAGCTTTCTCTGCCAAGATGCCTTTCTCCGTCTCATTTTAGCGATTCTTTGTCCTTGTACCTGTGCGGTTCTTCTTTGAGCATCAGGTTTCCTCCTTTCTCCTTTCTTCCGTTTTGGAAAGATCGCCTGGTTTTGTGGCGGCCCACACACAGGTGGGCGGGGTCCGGGGGCCTGCTCTGCTATGCAGATGAGGTGGGCGGGGCCCCACATATACCCGCAGCTTGCGGCCGGCGGGCGCGCCCAGGTTCAGCCGACTGAGACCGAGGCAGCCAGCGGAATCACCTTCCTCTCCGCAGCCGAGCCTGGTCCCGGGCTGGCCCCTCTGCTGCCTCCTGAGCGGGCCATGCCCCCGCGGGATCTAAGCGAGCCTGACCCACCGCCCCTCCGGGCCCCAACCCCTCCTCCGCGGCGGAGCAGCGCACCCGCAGAGCTGGGCATCAAGTGCGTGCTAGTTGGCGACGGCGCAGTGGGCAAGAGCAGCCTCATCGTCAGCTACACCTGCAATGGGTACCCCACACGCTACCGGCCCACGGCCCTGGACACCTTCTCTGGTACGTTCAACGGCCCCCCTGGCCACGTGGTTGGAAGTGGGAATGTGCACCCGGTTACTGGGGCTGAAGGCGCGAAGCCCCTGGGGAGGGAGGCGACAGCAGGCCTCGAGGGGGCGCTGGTGGGCCTGGTGGGTCGGGTGGACGCTCTTCCTAACCCACGCTCTCCTCGACCCCTGCAGTGCAAGTTCTGGTGGACGGAGCCCCGGTGCGCATTGAGCTCTGGGACACAGCAGGCCAGGTGAGAAGCTAGGACTCAGACTTTACTAGTCGGGGCGAGGTGGGTTGAAGGCGGGTAGGACTCCAGATCGAATCCCAGGGGGAAGACTTTGGTTATAAGCCTCAGGTTTTCCAACCCCTGTTCTATGTAGCAGGGAGTAACTCCATTAACTACTTGGCCTTTCTACCCCAGGATGACTTTGACCGGCTTCGCTCCCTCTGCTACCCGGATACCGATGTCTTCCTGGCCTGCTTCAGCGTGGTGCAACCCAGCTCCTTCCAAAACATCACAGAGAAATGGCTGCCCGAGATCCGCACTCACAACCCGCAGGCGCCGGTGCTGCTGGTGGGCACCCAGGCCGACCTAAGGGACGATGTCAATGTACTGATACAGCTGGACCAGGGGGGTCGGGAGGGCCCAGTGCCCCAACCCCAGGCGCAGGGTCTGGCTGAAAAGATCCGGGCCTGCTGTTACTTAGAATGTTCGGCCTTGACACAAAAGAATTTGAAGGAGGTATTTGACTCGGCCATCCTCAGTGCCATCGAACATAAGGCCCGGCTGGAGAAAAAACTGAACGCTAAGGGTGTGCGCACCCTCTCCCGATGCCGTTGGAAGAAGTTCTTCTGCTTTGTTTGAACTGCTATGGCAGAGTGTCAGCAGTGGACCAATGGTCAGAGACTTCTGGAACCTGGGGCACAGGGCCTTTGAAAGGGGCTACTGACATGGCCAGGACACCCCATGGGACTCAGTTTCCTTCTGAACACTGTGGGGACACAAGGTGTCGAATTGCCCATTCCGATATGCCAGGGTGAGCCTGGAAGTGGGAAGGAAGGCTCTGACCCTGATGTGTGGGTCAAACCTCACAGAGAAAACCCAGCACTTTTATTTTCATGGGATGATCCCAACAGTGTCAACTGCCTCTGAGGAGTGTGGGATCCAATTCTGGGTTTCTCATCATGGGCCAGCAGGGCTGAACCCCTTGTAGTGATCCCCCAATCCCTCCTTGGCACAGGAGCAGGGAGGAGCTTGGGCATCTGGAAAGGCTGGAAGGTGCTTAGTCTGATTTGGAGAGAAGTTTGGGCTGGACCGTGTAAGAGATCTGAGAAATTGAAAGGAGCAGAAACAAGGCCTTGGAGCTGTGGGGTAGGAGGCAGATCAGAGGGCTTGGTCTGGAAAGAGAAAGAGCTAGGAGGAGGAGAGCAGGGAAGTGGGGCAGCTGAGAATAAGACTGACACCTGGGTTGCCCTCAAGCCAGGGAGGGCGGGGCAGCTGGTCCCTGGGAAGAGCTGGGTCTCAGGGCTCCCTAGGCACTGCCCAAACTGGCTGGGCCAGGAGTGGGGCAGGAAGTGAGAGGCAAAACCCAGCAGGGGGCGGGGGAAAGAGCTGCAAATTAGCCTGAGGAAGGGGCTGGAGGTCACCCTTCTCCCTAGGGTCACAGCCTAAGACGTAGGGCAATGCAGTCTGCAAATAAAGCCTTAAGTTTTTGAAGCTACTGTCTCTGTGTCATTTTCTGGAATGGTCAGCAAACTCCTCTGCCTGTTACTCTGATTGTTGTTGATGTTGTTAAGTGCCATCAAGTTGGTTCTGACTCATAACCACCCTATACAAGGTTTCCTAGGAGTGGCTGATAGCCCTTCTTAAGTCCCATTAGGGAGAGACAGGTCAGGCACTAAAGGACTGTTCAAGGACTAAGGCTGGACTAGAGGGTGAGGGCTGGGTCAGGTGGCTGATGGGACAGTGATGGGAACTGGACTGGGGGGAGCAGGTGTGGGGCTCCCTGCTTGGGGCTTAGCTGGTTCCCAGGAGAGCTAGCGTGGGAAGCAGCCTGGAAACGGGTTTCCCCAGGTGTCAACGCCAGACCTGCTTTCCCATGACCTCACCTGGCGGGTGGGGCTCCTCCCCTCTCCCCCTCCTTTCTAGAACGCAGTGCTCAGTGCTGGGACTCTGGAGCAATCTTGAGTCCTTTAACTTTCATGCTCAGATCTGGATGAGGCTTGTTTTGTCAGACAATCTACAGGGCCTAGAGTTCAGAGCCTAGGTTCTGGGGCACCCTAGGTTCAGAGCCTGAGCAAGGAGGGAACCCCATGTACCCAAGGCTTTGGCCATGGTCCTCAAACCCGCTTCAAGAACCTAGTAAAGACCAGGTACCAGTTGTGAACATTTTCAATTTGGTTAAGTTTGGTCTTAGGATTCCTGTAAAAGTAAGGTTCATTGGGAGAGACTGTGGAGAAGAGCAGATGTCCAGAGAACATTCACTGGAACTGAAGCTGGAAGGAACTTTAAGCAAAGACCACCTTAGAAAAACAGAACCTTAGTTTATTTACCCATAGGAAACAGACCCAGACAAGCGGGGGAAAGCCATATATAAAAAGTGATATTACAAAGTGCTTGCCTGTAAGGCCACTTTGTGATTTCTGGGGTTGATTTCCTGGGTAAGTTACTTTTTTTTTTTTTTTTAAGGCAAACTGGTGATACCTCTGGCACAACCTGATACACCTGTTGCTAGGCAGCTGCCAGGTGAGAAGTCAACTGTCCCAGCTCACCTTTGGACAGCTCCCTCTGCAGGAAGTTACAGTTAATGTGCATGTGAAAAAGAGCATGGCTGAAAAGAACCCAAGTCAAGTGAAACTTCAGATAATCCCCAAGTTCAGTTTTAGCCAATTATATCTCCATCTGCCTCACCAGGGTCTCCCTTCTAGAGGTCTCGCCATTCGCCTCCCTTTGTTTCCTACCCACTCTCTCAGGTGGAGGTGCTAAGCAGCATCATTACAACCAGATTGAGGTGCCCCATCCCCGGGGTCTGTAGTTACCTCCATCCACCCTAATATTCCCCTCCACAACGGAGACCTGGGTTCAAGTTCAGGGTCTGACATGAACCTGCTCCATGACTTCGGACCTTTTTGTTTTTCTTGTGTCTCATTGTCCTCATTTCTAAAATGAAGAATACTGTACACTGATTGGATTAAAGGTTTTCCAATTGTTTACAGGTGCCACAGAGTGGGGATAGGTGTCTGGTCAGATGACCTCTGATGCTCCCCGCGCCGTCCCCCCCGCAACTTCTTCCCTACTTCTATGTCATCTGTAGAGGTAAGTAGTCACCATGCCTCCTCCTTCACTCAGTCACCGTGTCTGGTCAGCAGCACTTTGTCAGCCTCCCTCCACCCCTGGGTGATGCAAATCATTAACACATGGGCTTCTAACCAAAAGCATGGAGGTTCCAGCCCATCCAGAGGCACCTGGGAACAAAAGCCTAATGATCTACTTCTGAAAAATCAGCCTGTGAAAACTCTAGAGAGCACAGTTCTCCTCTGACACACACGGGGTCACCATGAGTTGCAATGAACTCAGTGACAACTTGTTTTATACTAATGGAGTCCTGGTGTGGTACTGTAGGATAAGCACTGGACTGCTAATGGTGGTTCAAACCTACCAGCTGCTCCTCGGGATCCCTATATATGGTCGCTATGAGTGGGAACTGACTCCAGGAGACTCAACAACAACAATGCCCCTGCAAGGTCTCAGACTCCTAATGTCCCATCAGCTCTAAGTGCTTAAGAGTAAAAGCAACATGAGAGGCCTAAGAGAAATGGCCCGTTGATAGATCCTGTAAAGCCAGCAGCCAAGCCTGTGCCCCACAAGAGGGATTTACTCTACTGACTCTTCCACATTCTGCTTCTCTGTGATATGGTGTGTCTCTTTACTCTCCTAGGATGTGTTTTCTGCTTTTATCTTCTTCTGTCTCCTTCCTTTGCCTCTTTCCTCTGCCTTCTCTCCACTCTTGAATCTAACTTTAGTGGAATGTTTATTAGTAAATTAATTGGATAAAATTATATATTTCTTATTTCTAAATATTTAAATCAAGGGATTGAAATCTTTACATATGTCCTCATTTATGTAAATGTTTTTTAATGTCTGGTGGCACTGTAGGATAAGCACAAGACCCCAAGGTCAGTTTGCAGCAGTTAACAACAGCAACAATCCTACTGAACTGCTAACCACAAGTCCGAACTGACTTGATAGCTAGCACTTAACAACAGCAATCCTCAATTGAGTTCTTAAAAATGACATTTGTTTTTTTCCATAATAAATACTCATAGGAAAATTGGAAAATCAAAAAATCCAAAGAATTAAGATACTGAAAAATCACACATAGTCTTTATAGTTAACAGTTTAATGCCTTACCCACAGGGATCCTCTGAAAAAGCAAATAGTCTTAACTGTCCAAACCAATCAGTAATAGCATTTTTGGTCTTTTCTACTAAACACATTTCTTGTTTTGGAAGTTTTAAGAAAAAATTTTTTTTATTGTGAATTGGATGAAGTTTTACAGAGCACATCAGTTTTCCATTCAACAATGCATACACATTTTGTTTCATGCCATTGATTGCGGTCCCCACAGTATAACATCACTGATCCCACTTCCTTCTCATGTTTTCTATTTTCATTCCTCCTTCTTTCCTAATTCTTCTGAGCTTTGTCCTTGGGTAAATGCTTTACTTTTGATCTCAAATGGTTGGATTACTCTGGAAACATTTTTTGTGCTCATATATACAATTTTTTTTTTTTTTTTGCATTTAAAATGATAATAATGTATTTCATGTTGTAAACTCTGACCAGAATAGCATATATGTTGCATGTTATTTTTACTTTGAACATCATTTCTTCAACTAGATCTCCATTTAGGGGCATTTAGGTTGTTTTCTTTTCACTTTTTTTCCCTGCTATCAGTGACAACTACACAGACAAGTATTTCTTTCTCCACTTATGGGTCCGTGACCATCTACAGAAAAAAAAAGTTCATGTCTGACTTGGAGGCTGGGCCCCAGTCTAATCCCAAATGGATCTTGTGAGGGCGCTTAAGTTTCTGTGTGTGTAATTATGTGTGGGGTCTTTTCTGTTGTAACATTACTAGCAGATTGTGGGTGTTCAATAAATACTAAGCGATGACAAGGTGTGTATACATTTGTGTTCCTGTACATTTCTCTGCATCCTTGTTTTTGCTCTTGTATATATTTAAAGTGGGTGTTGCCTTTGTGTGAAACTCTGAATAACTCCATATATGTGTATGTCTGTGTCTATGTCTAAATGCGGATGTCTGTCTTCATGACAAATGTCCTTAGTTCTGCACATGGATATTTCTGTGTATACTTAGAAGTGAATTACAAACAACCATATACATGTATCTGGTTGTATATGTGTTCTCTGTGCCTGTGTGTGTACATCTGGGTTGGACCTGGGTCTCTGTGTCTGTGCATACCTATGCTCAATTCTGTGTGCATCTGTGTAGCAGTCTCTCTCCCTGCACCATTGTCTAATTGGAGGCATGCTGGACCCAGCTGGTGTGAGAACATGAAAGATCTGTGTGCTTGCTTTCTCCCTGAGAGCACTGTGGTGCCCAGGGCAGAGGTGACATGACGCACCCTCCCTGAGCTCCCCATTCTCCTGGGAACCAGCTCTGTGAGAGTGAGTGAGCCGAGAGCAGACTGCGTCAGGAGCACCAGCCCCTTTTGCAACCAGCCCAGGCCCCAGGCAGTAACCGTGGCTCTCACAGGTCAGACCTGCCCACTGCACCTCTGCTGCCAGGAAACCCGACTCCCAGGCAGGACTGCGCTGTCAGCGTCCTTCTTGGGCCTAAGCCAGATCCCCCAGTGAGCAAAACCCAGCCAAGGGGCCATATGAGTCACCCCGTGGCAACACAGGAAGTGATTTCCTGGACCTGGGCAGTGCTGGCTGTCCCAGAGAAGCAGGGTTTTTTGCTCTTGTGTGCAGCCATGCGTAGGCAACCTGTCTCCCCCATTATGGTTCTCAAATGAGTTTCAAG